CTGGAGACCCGTCCAGGGTGTCCCCCGCCCCTCGCACAGTGATTGCTGGACATGGGCACCGGCGACCCCCGTGACCCAAAATGGAAGAAGCGGGTAAAGATAATGAGTAACAAAAACACAACAAATTGTTTTTTATCAGATCAAATAAAGGCATTTTACATAAGCACCACAGAACCTTATAATTAAACTTATTGTATGTATGTATGTGGTCTCATACTGAAACAGCATCAGTTTATGCTCATTTAATAAGATGAATTATGGTTCCATTAATCTAATGTTCAGCCAGTTTGCATGAATGAGACGACGTTCGTGTCCTAATCTTTCCCCACTTTAGAGTCATCCAACATAAAAAGGCCAACGAGCCACATTATGTACATAAATGCTGTAATTTCTGGATAGCAGGAAGTTTACAATCCCTCACAGGTGGTTTTACAGATGAACCCCATCAGCACGGAGGACTGAGAGGAGAGCCAACAGGACCAGTCATGGAACCACTGGTGCCACTAACTCGTGTGATGAAACCTTGATCTATGGCTCTGGTTTTTACCCCAACTTTATGTAGGTTCAGATTTGTTTAAGTTTGTTCTGCTTCTTCGATGAGTGGCTGAAGCCACGGTCAAATACTCTCTTTAGTCCCCTCGGATCCACATCATCATCTTGTCTCTCTGTATGTGTGTTTGGTTGCTGTGGTGATGGCAGGGTGGGCACTCCTTTTTAAGCAGGAGTGTGTGCGAGGCTGCGATCTATGCTAAACTGATTTCACCATGGCTGCGCCAGAGAGGCTAACACAATTACTGCTGGCTAATGGCCCCACTGACTAAAGGGGGAGGGGGGAGGCATCGTGGGGAGCTTTCTGGAGGTCTCTCATCTTACTCTCCTGCGTTTTTTTCTTCTCCTCTTCCTCTTTTCTTTCCAGCAAATGTCTCTGACCCTTTTCTCATCCCTGCTCGTTCCCTCTTTTATAATAGTTTCAAAGATCAGGTCAGCCCAGTTCAACTCAGGAAAAGCAGAGTCAACAAATGCAAGTACCTGATTTAATGGGTTTTCCCTTTTCTTCTGTCTGTTCTCTGCAGCCATCAGGAGGAAGGAGAACGGTTGGTACGACGAAGAGCATCCTCTCGTATTTCTCTTCCTTGGCTCATCAGGAATTGGTAACTCTCTCACATCTCACTTTAATTTAGGTTTTATCTCATGAAGCAAATGGCAAGAAGGGGGACTTCATGAGCTTTTTTTAACAGCAGCCAAATTAAACGGAGCACTTGCTCTTTTTCTGAAGTTTCTGATGCATGTGGGGGTGCTGCTGTGCCCCACCCCCACCAACACCACCACCACCACCTCTTGACAAGTGAATCAGTTCAGATTACAAAGATGCTGAAAACACATGGCTTCAACAGCAAAGTGTAACATATAAGCACGTTTTAGACAACCATATTTTCTGCCATAAACATCACACCACCCTATAAGTCACATCAGTCCGTATATGTCTAATAAAGTGGAAAAATATATAAATAATAAATATGTCACTTCGCTGTATACGTCGCATCTGTTATGTGTCACCGCTGACAACCTGGAAATGTGGGTTGGTGTTGTGCCAAAAATCGATTGGCTGCCAAACGGCGGCTGCGGGAGCGTGCACAGGAGGACTTTTAACAAAAATTTTACAAGATTAACACTTAAAAACAATTATTTGTTTGCTCAAAATTATAGTAAAGGTGTGTCTCCGTCTAACTTTTCCTTAATAAATGCACTTTGACGGTCAAATCAGCTGCATTTCAAAAGCTGATACGCAGAAACATGAACGCACATAGGGCAACTCGCTGTACATTTCTTTGAAATTTAACAAGATAATCTTCTAAAAACATTTATTTGTTTGCTCGACATTATAGTAAATGTGCGTCTTAGTTGAACTTTTACTTAATAAATACACTTCAGTGGTTAAATCAGCTTCATTTCACCGGGGCGGCGCAGCAAAATGAAGCTGATTTGACGTTTGCTCCAGGCAGACGACGATGGCACACTATGGCAAGCCGATTATGTCATTAATAGCCACATTTATCTATTACATGACACAATGGCATGCCATACTAAAGTGCCATCTAGCAGCTGAAAATGGTAGAGTTCAGTATTGTCCGTCAGAATGAATGAAAACGGTCATATCTCAGTCAAAAATAGGTTTATAAATATGGGAAACATTCATAAATATGTCGCTTCAGCGTATAAGTCGCAGAGCATGCAAATGCAAAAAAACCCATGATTTTTACAGCAAAAAATACGGTGATCTAAAAATCAATAAAAGTATTTCTCCAAGGTGTCATTTTGTACTTTGTAGCCAGAAAGAAACTCAAAAAGGAATTTTTGTATCTTTTTTCGAACTGGTTTGTTTATTATAATCGATGAACAAACTATTTAACAAGTTGGCTCACATGAATGTGGACCGCAGGTCTCCCTGGTGCTGGACTGAGTGAAACTTGAAATCAAAAAGTACACATTTTTGAACTTCAAGGTGAAAAAATTAAAATAAACTCATAGCTGCCTCCAATCTTGGCCTTTTTGCTCCTTTGATTACAACAAACGCTCGTCCGTTGTTGACTTTTCCAACGAGAGGAAACGGATCAACTAAACAGGGACAAACTTTGAGTTTAAAGCTTCAGATGTTACCGTGTTACCACGAAGGAGGTCCAGGTGAGGCAACCAGGTGCTTGAATTGTAAGCATATAAACTGAAAGTGGTTGTTGACATCAATTAGAGTTTGTCATTTTGTCTTGACCTCCTTTTTGGTGGCTCCTTGTTGGGTTTTTATTTGCCTATTTGCAAAAACTGCATGTCAGCACACAGGATATTTTTTATTGATTAATATTGACGCCATCACGCTCTGTCCATTTGTACCTTTTGTTTCCTGCCACCCGCTGAGCTGTGTGTGAGCACCAGCTGTCTGAGAAGCAGCTGATCGCACGTCTAAACACTGAAAACGCTTACCGACACATTTTAGTGTTGGAAAAACAATCAACAGCCTGCTGTTTGATTTAATAACATCCACGTAGGACTGACTGGACCTCACTGCAGCACATCTACTGACACGGGTCTTATTCAGTCTGGCTCTTTGTTTAAAACTTTGGCTTGCAAGGCTGCAGGGGATATACATGCCTACTAGAAGTGTTAATTATTGTTCATAACTTGACTGGGGTTGGTTAGAGAAAACTTCAATATTCTCAACCATCTGTTTGTGGACGTGTGTGTTCGTGTGAAGGCACCAGCAAGCAGCAGAGGGAAGAAAGAGGGATATTAAGGGCCAGATGGATGGCTAAAGAAGAGAGATGGTGAGATGACAGGGCAGAGAGATAGATGAGGGAGAGGCAGTGTTCATATCCTCTGTTCCCTTCAGCGACAAACGGTAGCCATCAGACATCAATATTAAACACAGCAACAAGACACAGGAGCACACACACAGGCTCTCTCGTGCACGCAGCCCTCATATTTATACCAAGCACAAGACATCAATATCATATAAGAGCATTTATATGCAGAATATTTTCCTGACAAACATGATGTGTGCTTCTGGAGAGCTAGAAGTGATTGAAAGCTTCGGGGAAGGAGGCGCTGGGATTTAGGCCAGCACTTAGCAGAGCGGGGAGATTGTGTTTTTGTCTGAAACGAGTACACTTGTTTTCCTGAAGTCTTGAGTTTCCTGCATGCTGATGTAGTCCGAAAAGATTGTTTTTAGATGCAAAGTCATTACATGGACGTTGGTCCTGTTGTGTGATGAATAACTAAATGATATTGGTTTTATTCATTTGTTTTTATGGTCAATGTCGCAGGAAAGACAGAGTTGGCCAAACAAGTGGCTCGGTACATGCACAAAGACGTTAAAAAGGTGAGTGACACGGAGCCGTACATGCCGCGCACACACAGGACTTCTTTGTTTTACACCAGATGCAGCAGCATGCTCTGCTGTTGTAGTGACCTGTTGTGCGTTTGCAGGGTTTCATCCGCATGGACATGTCCGAGTTCCAGGAAAAACACGAGGTAAAGGCTTCATTTGTTTTTAAACCAAATGCATAATGTGCTACTGAAGTCACCGTATAATTAGCAAAGCCTGCTGTTTTACAGAAGTTATTTCTGACGAGAACAGCTGGATTTGTCGGCTGTACAGTAGTCCCTCGTTTATCGCGGGGGATCCGTACCCTGAAGCCATGCGAGAAGTGAAAAACCACGAAGTAGGAATAGTAGTACAAGTAGTAAGTAGCAGAGCGCTCTTGGCCACACCCACTTCTCCGCTCTGCGCGGAGAGCAGCTGATCAGCTGCAGCAGGAAGCTTCTCCTGCAGTGCGGGCTACACAAAGGTGCAGCAGGTGCCAAATAATTTAAAATATTATTATATTTATTTTAAATAAAAATTCCATGCCGATCATGCAGCTCATCCATCAATCAGCCAATTGCGTGTCATGTCCAATCTTATTTTGAAAAACCGCGATAGTGAGTCTGCGATAAACGAACCACGAAGTAGCGAGGGACTACTGTAAATGTACGGCTTTGGATTAATTCATTTTACGAGCTCGTACATGATGCATACGTCAAGATAAATGTTGTGTTTTGTTGCTGTTTCTCTTTGTTGTGAAGGTTTCATGATGAACACGTTTAATCAGTGATTATTTTTTCATTCATTCATTCAACCTTTATTTAAACGGATACATTGCATTGAGCCTCAAACACTCATTTACAAGTGAGACCTGTTTGGACAGACTTGGTTATCATCCTGTGCTAAAGAGCCATGTCTAATCGTTCCAGCTCAGTGTTTGTGTTCTTTGTTAGCAGCTTGGGGGGTTCTGGAGACTCTACAAATAAAATATAAAACGACAAAAAAAACTGATAAATGGTTTGTTTTCTCTTGCCGCACGAATACTGCGAGGAAAGTGAGCCTTCGCAGGAGAGGGAGACCTCACTTTTAGAAACACTTTTAGAGACGGTTCTTTAAATTAAAGCAATAGTTCAGATCTTTTGAAGTGGGGTTTTGTGAAAAGGTTATGTTGATAGCTGTTTGAACGGCCTCAGTTTGTAGAGTCAGAGTGAATTATCCCTTTAGATTTGACACCTCAGTACGGGTGGTGGATTACAGCATGAAATGGTGTGAAAGTTTAATGAATATAAAGCCTATTTGAGTGTAAACACATCTGTCTGCTGCATTACATCCTGACGGTATCATTTGGACCAACTCTGGATCCTCTCCTCGTCTCAGGTAGCGAAGTTCATTGGCTCACCTCCAGGATATGTAGGACACGAGGAAGGCGGCCAGCTCACCAAGTTGTTGAGGGCGTGTCCCAATGCTGTAGTGCTGTTTGATGAAGTGGATAAGGCTCACCCTGACGTTCTGACCATCATGCTGCAGCTGTTTGACGAGGTGTGGACACGCTTTATTGTCTGACCGAGCAGAAGACCATGTCCCTTTACTAAGCTGCTGTTTCCCTCACAGGGGCGTCTTACAGACGGTAAAGGCAAAACCATTGAATGTAAAGATGCACTTTTCATCATGACATCAAATGTGGCAAGTGAAGACATCGCCCAGCATGCTTTGCAGCTCCGGCAGGAAGCTGAAGAGATCAGCCGCAGAAAGCTGGTCGACAACCTTGGTGAGAGAAACACGGAGTCCACTGCACTGATCTGCTCACATACCAGGAGGGGGAAATAACGTCTTACCCTTTTGTTTGTTTTCCCCCAGAGGACGTGCAGAAAAGCGATGACGTCAAAATCTCCCGACAGTTCAAAGAAACGGTGATCCAACCGATCCTGAAGGTACGGCAGCCGCAGGAACCCACAGGCATGTTTGGCTCGAGAAGCATCAGGTGTCATCGTTCACTCTGTGATTAATCCACAGGCTCATTTCCGGAGGGACGAGTTTCTCGGTCGGATCAATGAAATTGTGTACTTCCTGCCGTTTTGTCACTCGGAGCTGCTACAGCTGGTCAGCAAAGAGCTCAGCTTCTGGGCCAAAAAGGTTTGGCAGCACATTATCTGTTCAAATCTCTTCCAGTCGAGTTGTGTGAATCTTTATGAAGCATTCTCTCTATTGTGATCCATTTTTCTTACCTACGTTTTTCAGCGCGATTCTCGTCCCGCAGTTTTCATCCTATTTCAACAAATCATAAAACATTCAGCTCTTTCAGCACAATCCTGCTATGACTATTGTTATTGGTACAACTTTAGCTTTTGGAAATATTTAGCCTTTTCTGACATTTTTTTCACATAGAAAATGAATTGAGCTCATTTTACCTCCTTCAGATCTTTAGATGTGTTTACAACCTTTTACCGCTCCTTTCACATTTTGTTCTGCTTCAGCTTCTTTCAGCTTCCTTGTGCAATTTTAAACTTTTTTCAGCTAATTTCAGCTGTTTTGTGCTTCTTTCAGCTTCTGTCTGCTAACTACAACATTTTTGTGCTTCTTCTAACATATTTCTGCTAGTTTCAGCTTGTTAGGCTCCTTTCAGCTTATTTCTGTAACATTCAGCTTTTTCTACTATTTCAGCTATTAAAGCTTTTTCAGATACAGTAATTCCACATTTTTTGCTCTCATTTCAACCTTTTGCAGCCTAATTCAGCAAAAACTTGCTCTCCCCTTCCTTGTAATTTCAGCTTCTTTCTGCTTTTTAGCTATTTTTCAGCTGTATTTTGCTAATTTTATGTTATTTTTCAACAAATTTTCACTTTTTTGTGCTCTTTTCTGCTTCTTTAAGCAAATGTGTTCTTTCTGTCTTCTGCCGACTTCAGCTTGTTCTACCTCTTCAGCTACTGTTTTAGCATTTTTTTTAGCTAATTTCAGCTGTTTTCAGATAAATTCAAGTGTTTTGTGGTACCTTCTGCTCTTTTCAGCCTAATTAACTTCTTTCTGCTAATTTCAGCTTATTATGCGTTTTTTGCATTTTCAGCTACTTTTTAGCCCTTTTTGTGATAATGTTTGCTTTTTCATCTTTTTCCAAATTTTTATAGCTCATTTCAGCTCCTTCCACTTTCTTCTGGCAGTTTAAGCTTCTTTCTGCCTTTTCAGCTACTTTTCAGATATATATATATATATTTTTGTGCTAATTTCAGGTTTTTTTTGCTAGTTTCCTAATTTGTGTGCTCATTTCTGCTTATTTAAACCTAATTCAGCAAACATGTGTTCTTTCTGCTTTCTTCTGCTAGCTTGGACTTGTTCTTCTATTTCAGCATGTTTTTAGCTAATTTCAGCTGTTTTTCAGCAAGTTCTTCAACAATAAGCATTCACACTGCATTTTCACGGGAAATGCAATTTATCTAGTTATTAGTAAACTTTAGTTCTCCAAAATCTTCTATTCTAAATTGTTAGCTCTGCTTTTGACTTAATAGGAGCCTGTTATCATGTTGTAGTGGACGACCTTTGACCCTGCTTCATTCTCTCTTCAGAAAAGACTACTGTCACTGCTGTGTCACACTCTGACAATAAAACAGTAGATTTAAAAAATAAAAAGCTGTGCTGCTCTTGTGCGTTTGTGTATTTGAGAGGACAGATTCGTCTCTGGATGTCCATCGTTACAGTCTGGGTGTCCCCCCAGTGAGGCTGGCCTTCTCCACTTCATCCCGCAGCCGCTGCTGAGCTTTGCAGAAAACACACACACACAGATCAATACTGTGTGTTACTCAGTTTAACATGATTACACTGTTTAACATGTGGAGCCTGCATCAATATTTCATATTACACCTGGTGTCCTGACGATGTGGACCCTGCAGGGGACCGGCAGGGACCTGTTCCTTGACTTGTTTAGAAAATGTGTCCTCTTTATTGTTTGATTTTTTAAGTGTCTCACAATAATTCATCTCTGTATCCAGCAGCAGCTCAAACATCAGAAATCTCATTATCACTTAATCCCCACAAGCCATTTGTTTGTAACTCACTTATATTATGGGAATTAAATGTTTAGTGCAGCCATTATCACCTCACTATAAATCTAGCATCTTATTTATTGAATGAAGCGTTACCATCAGTGGGTAAATGAGCTGCTCTGATCACTGATATTGACCAGAGTTTGATTAAAACGCATTAAGGGCCTGTTGATTAGCGCTGGCAGACATGCCGGCTGACAGTATCTCCCCTCCGCTGATTCATTTGTCTCTTTTACTCCATCACTCCTTTAACTGATCTGGGCTGTTTGTGATGCCTCTCGTCCTTTAACGTCCCCACGTCTCTGTCTCATCAGGCTAAGCAGCGCCATGACATCACTCTTCAGTGGGATCGCCCAGTCCTGGACCTGTTGGCAGGCGGATACAACCTGCACTATGGTGCTCGTTCCATCAAGCATGAGGTAATGGGTGACTGTAACACACAGCTGGTGGGAACACCTGTTTGTTTTGTTTACTCTGATGCATCAGCTAAAACAAAGCCACCGGCTCTACATGGGCAGCAGCTCCTGCCGCACCCTGGCACATGCATACATTTACATTTTTATTTTCAGGGACCAAACTAAAAACTGCAGCTGGAAAAAAATATATATTCATCTTCAGTACAGACTGTAGGGGATTACAGGTTTTATAGAAATAATTGCTGAGCTTTCACCAGTGGATTTCAGTCCTGCAGAGCTGAACCTTGAGTGGCCACTTGCTGGTTCAGGACAGTAGAAAACATCCACTGCACTTTGTGTGCAGTTTCTGCACTTTCATAGTATTTTCTGGAGTATAAGCCACGTCAGTCAAAAAAAGCATCATGAAGAGGAAAAAAACATAAAGAAGTTGCTTCGGCGTATAAGTCGTATTTATTTAATTAATTTTTTTCATTCAACCTTTATTTAAACAGGTTAGTCCCATTGAGCCACGAGGACTCTTTTACAAGAGAGACCTGAAATTATACGTCACCGCTGAACCATCACGCTTATTATGTGTTTATAAAATGGTTAAAACCATCTGGTAAGGATGCCCCCTGGGCGCCTCCCTAGGGAGGTGCTTCGGGCATGTCCAACTGAGAGGAGACCCTGGGGAAGACCCAGGACACGATGGAGAGACTATGTCTCTCGGTTGGCCTGGGATCACCTTGGAATCCTCCCAGAAGAAGCGGATGTGGAAAGAGATGTCCGGGCCTCCTGCTCAAGCTGCTGCACCCACAACCAGACTTCAGAACAAGCAGAAGAGGATGGATGATGGTTAAAACTGCTTCATTTCACCTCGGCGGCGTGGCCATCCATCTATCCATAGATCCATCCATCCATCCATCTATCATTCATCTATCCATTCATCTATCATCCATATATCATTCATCTATCCATCCACCACCCATCCATCCATCTATCATCCATCCATCCATCCATCCGTCTGTCCATCCATCGTGGCTGGAGCTGCTAGCTCTCCAGCGTTCCTCCACCTGCACCAGCTGAGTGAAGTGAGCGTGCATGGGAGCACTTGCTGTTGCATTTCTTAGAAATTTAAAGTGTCAGTCAAAAGTTATGAATATGGAATTTTTTTTTATACAAGTCGCGTTTAAGTCGCAGGACTGACAAATCTATGCAAAAAAAACTGCGACTTGTACACCAGAAAATACGATAGTTCAGTTTTGACAGTAATTGTGCTTTTAGAATTTCATTTTGGAGCAGCGCTCTGCAAATACCCGCCTACTCAAAAAGATAAATAAAAACCCACCACGATCACCTGAATATCTAGTGTCCATCGCTGCCACCAGAACAGGAAGTGATCAAGGCAAATCATCCGACCCTCTGGCTAGTTTGTTTTTCAGCTCAAAATGGAAATCAGAAGTTAATGGATGTTAGTCACAAGAGTAAGTACGCTCAATCATCCAGGTAAATGTATCACAAAAAGGTTCAGTCATGTCATGTGGACAGTTTCTTTTTGGATGGATGTTAGTGTTTTTTATTCAGCAGAGGGAATTATTTCTGGATATTTTCATCTCAAAACAAGTCAGCGGCTCAAACATGAATAAATTCAGTGATTGTTTTCATTTACACTTTTGTCTGCAGCCCCATGCGACGTCTGAAGAGTTAGGCACATCTTCTGAGTTTTAAGAAAGTAACTGGTTATTAGAAAGAATTCAAAGTGAATTCATATCATTCTGTTCATGCCCAGTCATGTATCGAGCTGAAAACGTTTTTTCAAGGCATTAGATGGAATGATGAGCTTTTTAAGAGGCAAACATGATTTTTAAAACACTGCCCAACATCTGTGTTTTAACTTCAAGACCAAGCACCTTTGCTTCAGAAGAGCACATGGAAGCAACATTAATCAGATATTTAAAGCCATAATATTGTTTCTAAAAGCTAAAATGTCCAAATATCAAATTTTACGTATCTAAAGTCAGTTTCTAACACGGTTGGGATTACCTCGTCGTTACTAACCTCATCTCTGATCTCTCAGGTGGAGCGGCGGGTCGTCAACCAGCTGGCTGCAGCGTACGAGCAGGAGCTGCTGCCCAAAGGCTGCACGCTGCGCCTCTCCGTCCAGTCAGAAGGCCAGGAAGAGCGCGGCGCCCCCAGTCTGCGCCTCGAGGTGGTGGGAGCGGACAGTTCATCAAGAACCCTGGACATTCGTCCACCGCTCAATCCTGAACACTGACATCCAGCTAAACATCTGCACCAAGCGACACGACGATAGACCTCTGAGACACCATTTTCCTCCTCACGAGTTCTAAAAGTTAAGCTGGCTGATCAATAAAATGTGCGCAAAACAAATTTTCAATAAGTTTCATTCAGTGTGTGCTCAGTTTTATTTGAACACGGTCCAGCTTCAGCTTCTTCACCAGGATTCATCTGTTCAGTGAAGTTATCGTATTATTCTTCAGCTCTGTGCCGGTGTGGACACTGTGATGTGTTTTACTTCAATAATGTAGAAAAACAATATAACAACACATATTCAAATGATTGAATATGTATTGAATATAACTCATGTATATTAAAGATGACTGTAGAAGTGTAAATAGCTGTTCCAGACCTTGTTAAGCTTCCATCTTTTAAAATGTGAATGTTTGCATTATTTATGACAGAAAAGACACTTACTGTTTCTGTGATAACACATATCACTTGTGTGTGGACTCCCACCAGCAGATAAACACTTAACACGCTTGTTACGGTTCACTTCAGAGTGCAGGAATAAAGAGAAACCTTCTAATTAAAGAACCAGAGCAGATCCTTTGAATTATAATCCGTAACTTCCTGGAAAATTGTTTATCGCTTAAATAAAAGATAACGTAGAGATGCTTTAGACGCTGCGTGCAGCTGTTCACAGTGTACCGTTAGAAATTTAGACTCGTAAAGAAACCAGTGTTCGGCATGAAGCATCAAATGTTTTAAAGCGCACGTTGACGAGGCGCCAGCTGTAGTCACCATGTCCACAACCTCCTGCATGTAAATAAAAGCATCGCAACAGAAAGGAAATTCCTCTGTTTTTTGTTGTTCGGTTTGAGTTGGACTGACACTCCTGACGGATGGGTGGATGGATGTGTGTGTGACGCTAGCTCCTGGGTGGGAATTCTGCAACAACAATAACGCTTGTCCACCTTGTAAAACGACATGACAGAGGAATTTCTTTGGAATTCTGCTCCACGAGGGGGTCTGAGCTGGACGCTGGGAGGGCATGCAGCCTGAGAGAAGAGCATAGATGTGAAAAAACATTTCTCACACACAAAACATCCTGCAGGAATGTGTCGTCCACAGGGAGTAATTGGCATGTAGGGAGAGACGATCACTCTGTGTCTGGGCTGCTACCCCTCCTATAATAAGCGTTTCAGTGACAATTTCCTTTTATGCTTAAAATAAAAAAATCAAAATGCTCAAAAACTTTCAAATAGCTGCTACAATTTTGCTTTCTTAAATTGCCAATGTATAAAGTATTGACACACCCTTATTCAGTTCAGTTCATTTCTATAGTACCAAGTCACAACAGAAGTCGTCTCATGACGCTGTACAGAAACATTCATACACGGTATATAAAAATCTTATCTGAGGAGCCATCAGATTGCTTCGAGCTTTCACTTCATCACAGTCTCTCATCCTAAGTGAGCACAGAGGCAACAGTGGAAAGGAAAAACTCCCTTATGAGGAAGAAACCTCCAGCAGAACCAGGCTCAGGACAAGCTGCCATCCTCTCTGACCTGCCGTGCCCCGAGAGGACAGGAAAGAGAAATGAACACACAACGGCAGGTCCAGGACGGAGGCCATCAGGTTATTCTCTAGGAGGAAAGACAAAAAAATAATAGTAATGTTAAGAAAGAATAATTATAAATACAAACTATTCATTTGTATGTATTTGTAAATGTTAATTTGATGAAATCAGGTCAGTTTGTCCTCCAGTAGTCTAAGGTTATAAAGGATGAGGAATAGGTCAGGAAACCAAGCTAACTAGGATTTATCACAAAGGAAAGTCTCAATCCCAGTCTTAAAAACTGGACAATGTGTCAGCCTCACAGACAGAAACTGGAAGTTGGTTCCACAAGAGAGGAGCCTGATAACTGAAAGATCTTCCTCCCATTCTGCTTTTGGAAACTCTAGGAACAACAAGTAAACCTGCAGTCTGAGAGCAAAGTGTTCTGTTAGGAAAATATGGAACAATAAGATCTGTAATATAAGATGGAGCTAGGTTGTTGAGGGCTTCGTAGGTTAGAAGTAAGATTTTGAATTATATTCTGGATTTGACAGGGAGCCAATGGAGAGAAGCTAAAACTGGAGAAAGATGATCTCTCCCACTAACACCAGTTAAGACTCTGGCAGCAGCATTTTGGGTCAACTGAAGACGTTTTAAAGAAATATTTGGACACCCAGATAATAAACCATTGCAATACTATTGTTGGGGGATGTAAAGGTCATGGATGTTTTTCACTTACTAATGTCTAATGTTATAGAACCACGTGTGTTAATTAGTTGTTTTGTCTTGGCAAAGTGGAGC